ACGCCTCCTCCTAGCATTGGTTGCGTCAGCCTAGCCTCGCCTTGACCACATTCACCTATGTTGACTTACACCAGCTTTGTCTAAAATTGCTTGTTTCCAAAATGCCTAGTGTACCCTATAATAACTCACCCTAGCGCAATAGCTATGCACTCTAACTTTCCACCTTTTTCTGTGATGTTACGTAAGCAGGGCTACGTGTGTGTGGCAGACATCTATACTATCTATTTGTAGTATACGACGGTTCGTCGTGCTTTTAACGAAAACTTAGGGGCAGCCAACATCTGTTGTACGGGATAACCTTACATCGCTACCAGAGACACTAATCGAAGACACTGCATAACTTGTTAGTTCCTGTAGGTATGATGTACACGTGGCACACCAGCTAAGGTCAACGATTTCCAAATCCTGAGAATCCATTATCTACCATTTCAGGTAATTAGTATGGATAAGTGAGTGTTAGGTATCTGACTGGAATTACTGTTCCGCCTGAGTGTATACCTTGTTGCAGATTGATGGCGCACATTGCGACGCAATTTTTTAGCAGCATTCCTCACATAGGAGGGAGGGGAGCCAGCTATTCCGAATCGTTGCAACAATATGGCTTTTAAGGTGCGCAGCATGGAATGCAGTAGTGTTATAATTGAGGGAACGCCGCCTCTGAGATAATTGCGTGATTGCTTGATAGAGTGTCGCTGGCACGGTTGGAGCACGCCTAAGATGACGGCTTGATACGCTGACCACTCGAACGGAATTGCGCTGTCCTGATGACGCTAGCTTAGCCGGTAAGGCGGATAATTGAGCGAGCTTGTGAACAATCCTAGCCGCACGCGTTCGGATTGACCCTGAGCCCTCGGAATTTACGCAGCCGAGGGGGGGTTCCCGATAGACACGCGCTAATGACTTAGACGCGAAGGCTGGCCAGCTAACGACTCACACGCAATCACGCGACCCGACCGACTCCCAACTGAGGCGAAGAGAAAGAAAAGGCAAGTGGTCCTCTGAATGCTCTTTTACGACCGACAAAGGGCGATCACAGCCGATGCTATGGGTTATTAAGTTAGGGAAAACAGTCACCACGCCGAGGTGGTAGTTTGTAAAAGGCCATTGTCAAAAGCGGCGTAGTTGGGCCGCGTCTCGGAGTGGCTGAGCTTTTCTGCGTTGTGGGGAGGAATTGGACTCCGCTTCCCACAGCCATTATGCCGGAGTTACTGGCGCGTTTTTGCGGGAATATTTGACGTGCCCGCAACAAGTAGTTTCTGTACATCTGTGCACGGTTCTTTGGAAGGCGACCACATTGCCAGCACTTGAGAAGTTTATTTGGGAAGCTGGGACACGCGTAAACAATCGCTCCTTTATGTTCCGCGTTTGCCCCCGCCAGAGAGGAACCGTCTGGTTGATGCAACGTGGTTGTCTGGTATATAAGGTCACCAGCGACAAATCTCTGCATCTGATTGACTAAGACTACCGCCTCAGGTTTTCGCGCGACGTTGTGTTTCATTGCCCAGAAAATGGAACCTTTTCCCTCAGAGACTAACCTCCAAAGGAAAAGAGATCCGTGACAGACCTCAACCTTGAGCAAATAACCGAAGAGACGTGATGGAGTTGAGCCGAATTCACTGCGAATCGTAACGAAAAATCGTCCATCTGTGCTGAGTGAATGGTAATCTTGTTTCCGAGTAACCTTTTGGCACCTTTTCCAGGTCGCACGTTTCGCAGCATGCACGCATGTGGCTTATCGTTTCTACTAATCTCCAATGGGACTGTTCTGTCGGCCTGTAACTCACATGATCACAGACCTGCCCTGTAATCTGAGGCTGCGGGGTCGAGTCTGCGTAGGCTTACTGCTGATGCCGTTTTTGTGCATGATTTATCAGCTTTTTTGCTTCTCTTTTTGTCATCTCATGGCATTTCGTTTGCACTTTTTGTCAATCTGACATGCATGTTAGCTTTTGATTGTTCTGTGGGATGCCCTTGTGGTGAATTGTTTTCATTGTTAGAATGAGTTAAGGGAGACCGAATCAGAGTAAAGAATGCTTTTCGGTAATTCTCAACAGACTCAAACATTACATGGTGACGACAAAGTGATAAACATGCCGGATTGGGCTGCGTGCTGATCAAAATGTTGAATTCCAACAGGAACAAATCAATAAATTACGGGGTCATTGAAGGTGGTGGCAAATTCTGTACAGGGGAAATCACAGCCGAAGTGGTAGGCCACGGTATAAGTAAACGACGTACAAACTGTTTTTGTACGCACAATTCCGGCTTGAGGTGGCGGATATAGATAGCTTCCGCAATAGACAGGAGATGTTTCCGGAATCCGCGCGAGAAACGCTCAGGAATAGTATAGAGGACTCTCAAGTCGATTTCCGGCCCTGCGTGACCGCGACTTCTAAAAGGTGAGACAAGATGCAACTGTTACTAAACCTCGCTTCGCCTTTATAAAACCACTTCGGGATGTGTTCGCAAATCCTATGAGATAGGCGCATCGTGGTACGACCCGCGTATCGTGCACCACAGAAGCATTGTCAACATGCATGCGACTGAACACTTACATGCATGTGCTAGCAAATGCATCGCCATTCTCTCTCTGTTTCTTTCTTGACTTACAAGAGTTTGTTCACTGTACTTCTTTATTTCCTTGAATAATTGCTTGACTCACGTGGCTGAAAGTCATTTAGTAACTTCACTCTTGACCAAATAGTGATTGCACCTTTTATTCTTCATTTACCGCGTCCGTTACGTTATCAGTCAATGCTAGTCCACTGTTAACGACCCGCCATCCCTCGTACACTTAACGTCCGTGACCCCACGCGACTCCAAAACACATGGGTGTCAGATGGTAGCTCCGTAGCATTGCGCTTCTCGGGTACCGTTCCTCACACATTGTACGCTATGCTTTATTTTCATGCTCCTACGTCTGCATCCTTGTTCACAGAACTCAGACACTCTATGCTTCAGTAGAGACGCTTACTACTTTTTTACCATGATTGTATGTTCGAGATCTATTGAAACATTCCCGGGCAGTGGCCGAGTGGTTCAGTCCATATGTGGTGGTCACCGATGCATGTTTGTGTGAATGCGAACCATTTCACAGCGTCCGCACCCCGAAAACAACTCATGCTCTCCATGTGGCGACGGAGCATTGGTGCAAAGTACTGGCTCGTTACTGATGCGATTTAGCTTATCGCCTATGAGCTGTCGACGGGGTTGCAAACAGAAATCGACCGCGATTTCTTGTGACATCCTGACTCACTCGCTTTCGTGCGGTTCTCCTCACCAACTTCACTGTAATCTGATTCGTTCAGGCCGACGCGCACATCCTTGTCTTTTTAGCGTCTGATACCGTTTGCAGAGCAGTACAAATATCGGAATTTATGGGTCTGCTGCTGGTCAATGGCTGTGGTAATGACGACCTTGAAACCTGTTAGTACAACCATTGTCTGGTGTGTGCGTTACCTCTCTCCACGCGATTTTCATGTTGGATTATGCGGACGTTTTGTATGCTCAGTGCCCCACGGCTGTCGTCGTGTCAATCGGCCGGATCTCAGTTTGTCGCAATCAAGCGATCAGCTTGGACTGTCAGGTTCCACCGAATAGGATTCACTGACCCGGTGGTACCTCCATAGTTCACCTTGTCAAGTGGTCCCACCCACCCCATGCTTATACTTCCGCATGGTTACAAAGAAACGGAAGGGGATTTAGGTGCTATGCGCTGAACAAATAGACTCAGGCAACCATCACACATCCGGTAAAGCACACTGGGCGGTCATTTTATCCTTTCGCGAAACTTCATTAGCGTACAACACCACTCTCAACCTGATGGGCAGAGTATAGAACGCTGCTGTTTGTCCAACCTTCTTACACTTTTACGAAACCTGGCCCGTCTGATCGGCAAGCACAAAGAGACTATTTACGGTTGCTCATCATCGCTGTCTTCGCATCTTGGCTCATATCTAGTGGGAACACTGTGTGAGCAATAAATGTGTCCACTTCCCCTTGTCCATAGTGAAGACAGCTTGAATGGGGCACTCTACACCGTAATTTCACGCACCAGGCCTTGATTTCTGGGTCAGATGTTGGGCATGCTAGTACACCGACTTTCCCGATCTGCGTTGTTTGCGCGACCGGGGTGTGGATGGAAGAAGTGGAGAGACCAGTCAGTGACTTGCTCAAGAGGAATTGAAACTCTCACTTCGAAGTTCGCCTCGGTTAGTGCTTTTCTACTCATTGCTTGGGGTCCGAAAGACGTGTGGTTCGCGACACTTGTTAACACGGTCGAGGTGGGAATCCTAATAGCGTTCGTATTGCGAATTTCTTTGCCCATCCCTGTCTTGCTTTTCCTCCCCCTTTAACCACGACCTAATTCTCAAACATCTTCTATATTCGTATTGTGGCATAATGACTGTGTGTTTAGCCTTTAATAAACGTGAAAATTGATGATGCTGCTCGTATCAACTAATTATAACACAGACTCCCTGATTCATATAGCCCACCGTGGTGATTGAGTTACACAGCATCCTACTCACTCTCAAACCTGCAGTCCCTTTCTTCTTAGACTCTTGCCTGACTCCGAGTTTCGCAGCAGAATTCCAGTCGTTCGTCACAAATCGTGTCCATCAATGGGGTGCACATGCCTCCACGGATCCACCCGCTGTGATTGATCTTACTGAACGACTGATCGAAGGGGTTTGTGGTCACTGACAATGCTTTCTTTACTTTGAATGTCCAAACTCGTCGGTTGCATGATCAGGTTTTGCGTTCCTCCTCACTGTCTCGCTTCGCTACAGTTTCTTCTCAGCGGCATTTCTTGTGTCAGTCAATCCCACAATTCGGCAAAGCCACCTGGCCAATTGATTGTGACTGAGGACGAATGCAATCTATTAGCTCTAAGTTAATAAAGACCTGCAGCATCTTAACTCCCCGTCATCTTTGCATGAGAATCTGTACGACTTCTCCACTCCACTAATCTCTCACTACTTGCTTGGTCACATTTTCAGCCTCTTTGCTTTCACCTCTTCCCTGAGTGTGCTCAATCTCAGTTGCAACAGGTTAACCGAGCTACCTGAGGATATCGATCGATTCGGGAAGTTATGCGTCCTGGATCTCACGTACGTTCGCTTCTCACTTCCTCTGTCTTCCCACATCATACTTTGGTTTAACACTTTTGTGTGAGTTTACTCAGCGCCCCATTGTGATAGTCTGGTGTGGTTCTCCAGAGTTTACCGTTCCATCTGACACTATTGAGCCACCATATTAGCACACAGTCGCTCAGTTGGAAGTACGGGGCATTTGCGTAGTCTACCAAAATTTGGTTTTAAACAATACTCTTTTTAAGCACGTCCTTATTGATTGATTCATCGGTCCTTTAAAACGTTATGTTGGCTGTTTTTTCTTTTCCCGAGCTTTTTGGTTCGGCAAAATGCTCCTGCGTCTTTTTTAAGGAATACAAACTTCATATTGCTTTCCTGGATCTCAGAGAATATACAAAACAGTCATAAATGTGCTCTATGGTGGAAATTTGTTTTGTAGATAATTTAACCACCTCTCACACTTTACAAGCTACAACGTTTGTCCTAGAAATCTTCACATAGCTTTGTCATTTGAAATGATAACCTGTTTACCGAAATGGGTAATTCGCTTGCGGACAAGTCAACACCCTTACCACAAATCTGCAATACCAGTATTTCAACTTTGTCATTTGGTTTAACTTACTGATTTATAAGTATCTAGGCTCGGATCAGTCCGGTCCCTCAACCACAATCTGTGCATCGAACTACGACGAACCAATTGAGTAGCAAGCTCTGTGGTTACAACGACAATTGATATGGCTGCGAATAAATGTAAGAACGATAGCAGCGTGAACGCAAGTTGATCAGAAGTCAGGAAAAGTCTAAGCCCGCTAGAAGCACAGGAGTTGCTTAGACTGCCACCGACTGACTCCTGGATCAAGCTGTCATATAGCGCCGATTGGTATTGACCTGTATTCTACGGGGTACCGGTTCTGGCCTGCATACGTGGTGGCAACGTCATCGTATCCCAGACCACCAATAAAGCACTGGTTATTGCGTGGCAGCGAGTGTCTGTACGAAGTGCCGATGTACTGGCAATGCTCGTGTTAAAGAGCGTTTCAAACTGGCATGCTTCCCGTACCACCACTTGGACTTTATTCGTCTTCGTCTAGTCGAGTGCAGTTTTAGTATGCACAACACATGCTGTGATTTGCACGAGTTCCGTATCAACTCATCCTCGCCTTGTTTAACTTAGAGTGATTTTCCCTTTCTATTTGAAAGCTCCGTCTGGCCTTCTAATGCGTTATTTGGAGTAAGAGAGAGAAAGGTGGAAGAATTCATGGATGGCTGAAGTTCGTAGTGACGAGATCCTAATGGATCAATAACCCTCTACTCCGCTGTTTCTGTCGTGCACTCTTGTTCTGGGCTTCTTCTCGTGACGACCGCTGGGTGAGAGTACAATTACGCCCTTCTAGCTAAGAGCTAGGACGCACACATTTACGTGAATCGACTGAGTCATAACACATTTCCCACTACATTTCGGGTATATGTCTTATTATTGGCTTTCGCTGAGGACCCAAGTCCTTCTCCGGTTCAGGTATGGACACCCTAGCAGTATATCAC